CCTATGAAGTTTAGATTCAAGTTAGTTAAATACCCCCCCCCCCCCCCAAACCAGTTTTATATTTAAACTTTTCAAGACTGAACTGATTACTGCTTTTTCCTAGCCAGAGTGCTCAGGTGAGTGATGTGGCCCCTGGGCCTCTTGTTCTTAATGTATTTTAACCCCAATATCTCGAATCATCAGATATCTTGGAATTATTTCTCAGTTTCATTAGGTTCAAGATAATGAGGTTACTGTATATTTCTTTTAAAAATTGTATCTTGTATATGCAGGAGAAATCGTCCATTTCTGGTCCTTTTGGAGTATAACCATTAGAAATAGTAGTTATCAGTATTAATTATACACAAGTTAAAATAAACAGCTTATTTAAAAACTAAGGAACATAATCAAAACTGAAAGAGGAACTATTTATTACATTTATGTAACAAGTGTCATTAAATTTATCAATTCATTGTATATATATGGCAGAACATTTTTTTATTTGAAATTTTAACTCCATTTACAGGAGGCCCTTTGACTATAACCGATGCTAACCTATGTCTTGGACGACTTCTGCCAGAATACTTTCCTAAAATATTTGGTAAAAATCAGAAATGTCCCCTAGACAAGGCAGCTACTGACAGGGCATTTAAGAAACTTACAAAAGAGGTAGGCACAATTGTGTGGGCAACATTTCATTTTAATTGCCAGTCTGTGTTTTAATATACAATGGTAGGTTTCTATCAAATGATTATGAAATTCTAGCGTGGTTGTCACTAATTGGACAAGGCAATTTTCTGCATCATTTCAGTCTATAAAGCTCTAAATGGGTAAAGGTGTAAGCTAGCTTAATCTGCATAAACTTGGAAGGGGGGTTGTTTATGACTTTCACCTCTTAAGCACTACAGAAAACTACATGTAAGTCTCATGGAGTGGTTTTTTTTTATTTTAACTGGTAGGGATGGTTTTAAAATTGATGACCTTATCCACACCCACAAACGTTCCTGTACAAGCAAGAAGTACAGTAAAATAAAGTGAACATGCTTAGAGTAAATTCATACTTACAGCGAAGTGATTTTCAGTCACTGTGGTTTCAAAATGTATTGTAATCTTAACGAATTATGTTATTAATGAATTCAAATTGCTTGTTCCTGGGCACTTCACTATAGAAATGTTTTACTGTATTTGTGAAAGTGAGTAAATTTTGTTTATTCCAATGGAAAGTGTGTGAGTATATTGATTGACACTAATTGCAGGTTAATGAATTCCTGTCTACACAAGATGACTCACCTAAAAAGAAGATGACCACTGAAGAGGTAGCAATGGGATTCATCCAAGTAGCTAATGAGACCATGTGTCGACCAATCAGAGCTCTTACGCAGGTCAAATTCTATTCTATAAATACCAATTACTGACGTAAAATAGAAATACTACTTTCAAAATAAAAATTCCATTTCTACTACAACATCATTACTTTGAAATCATTGCAACTTCTGTATCTACATATATTTAGAAGGGAAAAAAAAATCTTTTATTCAGGCAAAAGGATATGACACATCTAAACATGTGCTGGCATGCTTTGGTGGAGCGGGGGGACAACATGCATGTGCTATAGCACGGTCTTTAGGAATGTCTCAAGTCTTTGTGCATAGGTAATTTTTATGGATATCAAGAAACAGGATTTCAAATAGCTTTCCAATTTTAATAACTAAATAAGACGTACTGTAAACCAACTTTTATTGATGAGCCCGAAATTTCCACAAGTTTTTCAAGCTTCTTTTACATGCACATATTTCTTGTCACACACCATTTATTGAATTTCGAAATGTAGAATGTTTCCTTAGTCCACTCGTCCATCAGCCAAGTTCAAACAAATGTTACTTGTCCGACTCTGAACAGTTATAAAGAAATTTGTAGAACTTTATTTTTAAAAAATGAAGTATGTTTAGATAACATTATCTGATAGAGGTTTGTAAATTGTAAAGATAAAATACAGTAACTCTATCTGTAACCTAATCTCAGTCACCCTCAGCAGCTAACAATATCCCGTGAAATGAGACTGTACCCTAAGGATTGCAACTTATGTGATTTTAAAACAATGCAAACAATTTAAAACAACAAAAACAAAAAATAACACGCTTCATGAAAAATGCCAGTGTGAAGCATTGTAGTTCATGTCCTCATGAATTATCAAAAATTAAATTCATTTCTTAAATGAACTGATATCAAACACATACATGTTTATTGCACATGGGGATGTCAGTTCATGGGAAAGTGCCACCCATGTAATCTGTGATCATTGGTACTCCACGAACAATAATTATTATAAATTAATTTTAATGTATTCCCTGTAATTTTGTAGGTATGCAGGTATCCTGTCGGCCTATGGTATGGCTCTGGCTGATGTGGTGTATGAGGCTCAGGAACCTTGTGCCAAGGAATACAAGCCTGGTAAGGGCAACTACTCTGTAATGGCTTTTTGTTTTTGCTTTAAATATAATTTCAGCCCATCTTAACAATTCTCTAAAAGCCATTAAGCTGCTTGAGAACTGTTTGTTTCTTAAATTAACCCATTTTAAAATTATTAAAAAAAAACAATGGATAAGAATTTTTTTATGTGTGTTTTAGAATATTTATATATAGACTTTCTATTTGGAAGTATCAATAGAATGCTATGATAAAGTTAAATTAACCAGTTATCTTACTCTGTCATTGACATACATGTATTATGTATTTTGAATTTATTTTTTAGAGTTCTTTCATTATTTTGAGCAACATATTTCTGAGTTGCAAGATAAATGTTGCAAAGAGCTTCTGGATCAAGGATTTAAAAGGTATAGTGTTGTACAATTTGGATTATTTGCAAGGAAAAGATTTATTATTGTTTATTGATCTGTAAATGTTTAAAATCAAGATGAATTTTTACTGCACTATTTCATCATAAAGCATTTCAATTTCTGATGAAAAAAATTGTATTCAAAATTAAATTTGGTTGTGATAATAGAGAAGAGATAGATACGCAGCCATTCCTACACATGAGATACGACAGAACTGACTGTGCATTAATGATTTCTGCAGACAACTTCCCAGCCAATCAGAACTCCTGTAAAGCTGGTGATTTCAAATCAGCATTTCAAGAGAGGTAATTTTAGCAAGAAAGGTTATTTTTAATGTAATATTTTGAGTCGGTAAAAAAAAAATGCTCCCTAGAAAGTTTTCTTCACAGAACAGTTTACCAGTTTAAATTTGATTTGAAAAGTTGAGTTGAAGGGTTTTTACATGCATGTAGATGAACTGTTTTTAGATACCAGACAGAGTTTGGATTCACCATTCCTGATCGTCCAATCATTGTAGATGACATCAGAGTTCGAGGAGTGGGGAAGGCTCTGACCTGTGATGAAAAGGATAATCCTTCTGTTACTTCCACCCCTGTAGAAGACACGGTAGGTAGACAATGGAAATATTGTTATAAATTTCTGTTATAGGAATATTTTAAAAAGCATTTTGATTCAAAGGAAACTAAAGGAGTTGGAGGCTTGGGGTGGGGGAGGGGGATTTCAGATGTATGAAAACCATTTGAACAAGTATCTGGAAAATCCCTTTTGTGAATATCCATGCATACCAAAGGGGTTTGGGTAAAAAGAGATACATGTAATTTTCTTTGACAAAAAGTTAAACTTTTTTTCTTATCCATTACAGACAACCAAGTGCTATTTTGAACATGGATACCAGGAAACAAAAGTCTACATTTTGGAGAATTTGTCATATGGTCATTCCATTGAAGGTCCAGCAATTATCATGAATGGCAACAGGTAAAATACTGGTAAAATTCAAACTCTGGAAACATTCTTAACGAGGTTGGATCCGCCTGATATTTAAAGTCTTAAACTTTTTTTGCGAAGTATATTTTTAGTTTCTACACACATAGCTTTATTAAAAATCAAAACAAAAAATGAGGGTCAATATGCTTCTTTTGGCGCTACAGTACATTTAATATGACCTTTTTGCACTGAAATTTGTGTCTAAATCAAAAATCACATCTTCGACATTTTCCCTCCAAAGTTTTTATCCAAATAAATCATGGGACAAAATAAAATATAAGTCTATTTAAAAAAAGACACATTAAAGTTGTGACTAAGAAAAAGTTTCAAATTGCTTCGCAAAATCAATTATTTGACCTTTCTGCACTCAGAAAATGTGATTTTTCTGGCATTAAAAATTTAACCAGCAAGAACATTATTTAAAAGTCTTAAACTTTTGCTGAATTTAAGCAGATTGATCAAAGTTATCTTATATATTCAGAAAAGAAAAACAAAAGTGGGGGTCTATGATCTAAATTTTTAGATATTACTAAAAATGTTAATTTTACGTTAAAATTGGCTCAATTTTTTCCTGGACTTTCAGAATATATTTACTATATTTGTCACAATATAATGAAAGAATTCATAAGAAATAATGTAATAGATATTTAAGAACCAGCATAAAACATTTCACTGCAAAAAACAGCTCTGTTTGCAACCAGCATGGAAAAATAGGAATCTAAACTTAACAGTACTGTATATATTTCAATAGGGAAAAATTGATCATTTTCTTCTAAAAAACCTTCCGCCACAAAATATAGTTCCTGGCTTAATCATATTTGAATGAAATTTAAACGCGGTTTTTTCTTTGGATATAGTTTAATTTACATTGTAGAATCCAGATTTAATGTTATAACTTATAAATGATGCAGAATTTTAGAAATAAAGGTCAAGACCAAAATCTGTTCAAAAGCTCAGGATCGAACCTCCTTAAACATAGATACATGTACACTTCATCAGACCATACCAACCATGCAGCAGTTTCCTCCAAGCACATAATGTATTTACATGTCAAAGAGTTCATTAACCTCACTACTCTCTTAACTGGCCATGAATTGTGTATTCATTTTTATGTTTCATGTTGTTGTTTGTTTAGTTTGTTTGTTTGGTTGTGTGTTCTTTGTTTATTTGTTTTTTATTCTGGTTTGCAAAACTCAAGTTTTCAGTTACTTGTAACTTTTGGTTCATTATGAAGAAGTCCAGGGAATATCATTATATCTCATAGAATGTACTTGAATCTACTGATTTTCTAAATTTTGACATGCATCAGTAACTTCTTTGAGATCTATATCAGGTCTGTAGGACATCTATACTTAAATATATTTTGATTATTTATATTTATCGTAATGTTTTGTTTTATTTGTTTTAGTACAATTTTGATTGAGCTAAACTGCACAGCAGCAATAACAAAGCAAGGAGATGTTAAAATAAAGGTATTAATAACTGAACATTACAAATTGTGCAAATTGTGATCTTTATTATTCACCTTTGAAAATTTTTAATATTTGTACTCTAAAAAGTTTGACCTTAATTCGTTAAATAAATTTGATTATGATGTCACTATAATTTGCTGAATGTAGTATACAGGTTCATATATTAATGCTATTGACACAACATTTCATCAACTGTGTCTCATCTAATTAAGGAAAATGAGTTGCATCAATGATCTCTGATTTCTGAAAACAGAACAAGGGAAAAGTCCATAGATCTAAACTGGGTAAATACATGTACCTAGAATCAAAATTAAGTCATGTGGATATAAAACATCACAACATGATTGACCATTGACCATTAAAGTTTTGCACTCGCATACACTTGAAAGTAGGTAAAAGCCTTGTTCTGCAACTTGACTAACATTTAAGTCAGCTGTTGTTGATGAAAGAAATATGTTGGTTACATGAATACAGGTTGCTGATGCTACATTCAGTAGATCATAAAATGGCTACAACATTAGTTATACCTTAGTGTGGTTGTATTATGAATTTAAAAACAAAGGAATGGGCACAAAATGTGCTACAATTGACTTCTGAATGCCATTACATGTAACATATATGTCATTTATATTTTAAGAATGAATTGATATGTCTACTAATGTGGAACAGTGCTATTTTCTGTGTCTACAGTGTACGATATCGGCCAATACTGTAAACCAACAATTATTCGCATCATCTTTTATTTGTGATTTGTCAGAAATCAACCCGCAATGATCACTTTTCGCAATTGAGGAAACATTCTGTACAAATACCGGGTACAATGCAAGTATCCTATTTTGATATCCCAAAATAAGTGGTATGCGATGATTAATATTTGTGAGTTAAAGTAGGTCCCGAAACTTGTGGATATTTCTCACATGCAAATAAAAGTTGGTTTACAGTGTATATACATGTACTGTCAAGCTTCAATAATCTTGATGCTGATGCTATAAATGTAAATTCTTTTTCCAGAAGGTGAAGCATCAGGATTTACAAGGATCAACTGTATAGGCCTATATATTGTGTATGTATTACAGGTAGGGAGTGGTGTGGTGCAGCGAGTAGGACCAGATCTGGATGCCATCCAGCTGTCCATATTCTCCAACAGGTTTATGAGTATTGCTGAGCAGATGGGAAGGTAGGGAATAAGATGAAACCATTCTATTCAAGAGGTTACTGGGGTGCAACATACATGTATGTACTGTTCATCTCCAGTATCTCAAACATTGATATCTTGAATACCATGGATATACTGTATAAAAGTGAGTTTGAAGTCCCAACCACATTTTCTTTATGTTTTTACTGAAAATCTTCTCCATCGAGTTTGAGATAGCAAAGTTTGATTGTACATGTATATATATAAAATATATAATTAAGCTAAGTTTTGTATGAGCATGCCTTTTTCACGTCTTTGCTCAGAAATGATTCAATGAATTACATATATTTTGCAACTGCCTTTCTTTTTTTATTTTTATTTTTTCTTTGAAAATGATATGACTTTTTTGTAGAGTGCTACAAAGAACAGCTATTTCAACAAACATCAAAGTAAGGAATTTTATTCTTAAAAAAATTGACAAATAGGAGTGAAAAATATTAAAACCTTATCAAAGCTTCTCCATTATTAATGATATTTAATTATTATTTACATTAGAGGAGAAAATAGTCATAAAAAGTGGGTGAAGATTTTTTTGAGAATTCTGCACACATTTATCAGCTTAAAATTGCTTGATTATTTTCATAATATGAAATTAATTTTTTTTTTTTAGGAACGTCTAGATTTTTCTTGTGCAATGTTTGGTCCTGATGGAGGATTAGTAGCCAATGCTCCTCACATCCCTGTACACCTGGGAGCCATGCAAGAAACTGTCCAATACCAGGTATAGTCAAAATAAGGGTAATTAATCTCTGACAAGGAAATCCTCACACATGATCAGAATTGATAAAAATTATGATGATTTTGTAGATGAAACACTGCGGGGACAACCTGAAGGAAGGAGATGTTATTTTAGCTAACCACCCCCAGGCTGGAGGGAGTCACCTCCCGGACCTTACAGCAATTACCCCGGTCAGGATAATTCTTCTTGTTTTATGCATATTCTCCATAATGCTTTATGATTATTGCAATACATTCAAAATTGTGCTGTGTAATTTGATTATAAAAATGGATTCAAAATAGCATACAGTGTAGTTTCAAGTTTAAGCAAGAATCATCTCTCAGAGCAGAATGAATACATGTAAATGTGTACACATGATCAAATAAACATTTCTTACCTAACATAACAAAAAAAATTGTAACTGATTAATTAGTTACTCAGTTGGAAAGATGGTAATCAGTTAGAAAATCTGTAATTATAGTAAAAAAAAAAAAAAGAAATATGTGTAAATTTGAATGTAATTTCCTTGAAATTCAATTTGAAAAATACAAAATGTTCCTGAGTTGGCTGTTATCTATATAAGCTGATTTCGAGGTAATTCTCTGGATTGACATAATGGGGGTAACTGGTCAGTTTACTGTTTAAATATGTACATGTAACCATATCATTAACCAGCCTGCCTTGTATTCATTCTTTAATAATATTAATTCACTGTTTTGCACTATGAATTGAATATAATGTGTATCCTACCCCGTCTATCCTTTGCAGTTATATGTCAAGTTATATTATTAAACAAACATGGTAAATTAAGCGATAGGTCAGACTAATATCTATGATATCTTCAGCAGATTTTATGATTTTTTAAATTTATTCTTGTACATTGAAATTTAAGTACATGTATAGTGTTCTGATCAAACAGAATAATACTTGCATCTTTTTAGTCTGAGTATATTAATAGAGCTTACTTGTAATAATGTAATGTTATGGTACGGAAATGTGTATTTTGATATGATAATCTGGATAATTGGTCTGAACATCTTTTCGGTAACTGATTAGCAATTGTTTATTTGATTGCCATCCCTAAGCTAAATCAAATATTTGATTAATAAGATGAAACTTACGTGAAAGCTTTCTGAGATAGTATAGATTTAAAATTATTTAAATCAAAGTCTCTTTACCTAAAACTTTTGTCTATTTTTAGGTTTTCTGGCCTGGGGAGCAAAAACCTGTATTTTTTGTAGCCAGTAGGGGTCACCATGCTGATATAGGGGGAATAACTCCTGGTTCCATGCCACCTCATTCCAAGTGCATCCAAGAAGAAGGGGCTGTATTTAAATCGTTTAAGTTAGTGGATCAAGGAAAATTTCAAGAGGAAGGTAGAGACATTCCAATATTAAGAAGGAATTAATTCCTTGAATCAAGAAAACTAATGATAAAGTGATTTAATTAGATAGTTTGCCAATTATGAAAATGTACATAAATATAAAAAAACCCACAGGATTTTCATTAACACCATGTAGAAAGTCCAAATAGATGGAAAAACCCATCAGCGACTGAAGATGTGTTACTATAAATAACATGTATTTGGCATTTATTCTATTTTCATCAATTAATTCAATTCACGTAAGAGACATTCACACCTAATTGACATTTTGTTGTCATCAGTGGCATTTATTCTAAATTTGATTCAAGCTGTTACTAAAGCTCTCATGGAACCTGGAAATTACCCAGGAAGTAGTGGAACTCGTAACCTTGGAGATAACCTCAGTGACCTTAAAGCTCAGGTTGCAGCCAATCAAAAAGTAGGCCACTTGAAATATCACACTGGCAAATCATGTTGGTACTGAGTGATTTTAGGAAATATACTTATTCATGTACTTGTATGTATTTTTCTACCATAAAATGTATCACCCAACAGGGCATTAAGCTGATCAAGGAGCTGATAGAGGAATATGGACTAGATGTCGTCATAGCATACATGGCTCATATTCAGGTATACTTTTAAGAAAAAATCAAAATTTAAAATGCTTTTACCATGGGAAGTTTAAAATCATATGCATCCTCAGCAATTAGTGGGGGGATGTTGTGGTGCAATGGGATGCAATTGCACCCCCTGTTTGAAAAAAGAGAATTGAAAAATCTCATACTGAAACAAAATAAATTCATTATTTATGTGTTTAAAGTAATGCTATTAGATTTTGTTTATTTAATATATGTACCGGTATGTGAAAGAATGACTTCAAGAATGCACAAGATCCCAACAATATACACATGTAGTACCCAATTATAAAAAAAATTCTAGCAAGGGGGAGGGAGTATCTCTCCCAGACCCTCTTCCACTTTTCAGAAACCAGGTGACAGCCCTGATTTGCATGCTGTTAACTATAGGATATAAGTAATGTTCTTCCTGAACCAAAATCAGAAAAATCAGGACATGATAAATGTCTTGAAATTCAAGAACAACTGATCATGAAATGAGCAACCAATCACTGGGCTTCTGTGAAAGGTCTAGATTGTATTGAAACAATTAATTGTAAACTTTTGATACTGCACTTGACCTTTGGCATTTTGACCCTGAAATCAATAGGCTTCTTCTGGTGGCTATGCATCTCTCTGTTTCAAACTGAAAGGCCAGGTTGTGATCTGTTTATTCTGTCCACAACACTGAGAAGCATTAATACTCAGAATCATATAAATATATACAAGCAAGTTACTATAAAAATGTGAGGAAATTTGACATTTTCTTGTAATATATTCTGTTGTGATCAATAGAACAATGCAGAGATAGCTGTACAAGAAATGTTAAAAGAACTCGCCAGACGAACAAGGGAGAGAACTGGTACCACGAAACTGTCTGCCGAGGATTACATGGATGACGGCGCCAAACTCTGTCTGAGTGTAGATATTAATGAAGAAAAGGTGAGGCTTCAGACAGACACTGGTACAGTAAAACCTGTCTAATCAGACATGCACTGGTAGACAAATTTTGTGTTGGAATAGACAGGGTGTCGGATTGCAAAGTGTAAATAACATAGAAAACAGTAAATAGACAGGGTGTTGGATTGCCAGCATAGAGAACATAGAAAACTGTAAAATGGGAATTTAAAAAGGGTCAGAATTCACAGTGAAATGGATTGCACAGGTGTCAGATTAGACAGTTTTCACTGTACTTGCATTTATCACATGTTTACTTCTTTATACAGTGGATATTGGTCATAAGATATTGTTTTTATATCCTCAGTTGTGAGGTTGTAAAACGTGAAAGTTATGAAGTCATATGAAGTGGATTCATTCATAAAACAGTGTACAACATATGATAGCTATGTTTAAAAATATGTGATAAAAAATCTTCCAGGGTTTGTAGCTGGATATAATTTTTATTAAACTTGTGTTTTTTTTTTTATCCCCTTGGCAAGACTTGAGGATAAGAAAACACATAACTTATGGGATAAAAATCATACTCAACTACAAACCATGGGAGATCCTATGTTTATACACTGCATAGAACTGGTTGCATTGTTAAGTATGAAACTTTGTCTAATTTACTTAAAAGGGTACTGCAGTGGTAGATTTTACTGGATCTACTTGTGAAGTTTATGGAAACTGTAATGCACCAAGGGCAGTAACTCTGTCAGCACTGATCTACTGTCTGCGATGTATGGTTGGACATGATGTTCCACTGAACCAGGTAAATATAGAAAATGGTAAGATAAATAATATGTTGCTAGAATTAATGAATGTTTGGATGCAAAGTAAAGGTCATTAAACTATGGTTTATAATTATAATGGTCATTATTTACTTAGATTTAGGTTAAAACTTTGAAACCCTTGACTTGAAGAAATTCAGATCTAGTATTTTATGCTTTTGACCAAGAGATGTGTCATAGTTTTGATTATAAAGTTCCTGATGGATCAGATGAGAAGAACTGTCATATGTATTTAAGAAGCACAGGAATATAACAGAAAATTCTTATATTGAAAGGATGTTAAGGGGAAAATGATAATTCACAAGAGCCCAGTGTGGATTCATGATTTTTCTTAGTAATGTTGAAAACTAGGATTTATATGGGGGATGAATAGCTTTTAATTCAAATTAAGAATTTATTCATCTGGATACAGTATTTATCTTGGTGCAAGTTATGTCCATAAGGCCCAGATCATAGAACTCTGAGTAATTAAAATCATGTCATACTAAGTAAATCTATTCTTAGCAACTTTGTGTGTAGAATTTTTGCATGTGTTGAAATTGACATTAATTTTGCCATGGTCTGGATTTGTGTTGTGTTTTGAAGGGTTAGTCATCTATTTTTGTGTTAAGAAAATGACAATAGCATATAATTATAAAAAGCCTTTTAACTGTCAATTTTTGCAGTTTCAAAATTTGTTGGGAATTTTGTTTTCATTCAAAATTACAAAAGTATTTATTCACCACATCAAGACTCAGAAGTTTCAAACCAGAGAAATCATATATTTTTGCTTTGTTATGTTAATACCTTGATCATAACTTTACTGTTATATAGGGATGTTTGAAGCCTGTGACTGCCATTATACCAAAGGGAAGTATGCTCGACCCCTCAGAAAATGCAGCGGTGGTAGGTGGAAATGTCCTGACCTCCCAGAGAATTGTGGACGTAATCCTAAAGGCCTTCCAAGTCTGTGCAGCTTCTCAGGTATCTAAATATCAGGCAATATGTTACAGATTGAATATTCAGCTTATAAATATAGTCTTTGATTTTCATCAAGAAAGCTGAAAAAAATACACACTGCTGAGCAGTAAGCTAGACCAGCTTGTTAAATAGCTCTGCATTTAGTAATGATACTGTATTAGAGGGATTTTTTTTTATTGGGGTGCTAAATTTGGCTTATTTTAGCTTTTTCATACTAGCCCACTAAATGCAAGAAAGATAACTTTGATCAGTTTCAAAAACTTACCAGTATATGAATCTGCATTGAACTCATTACGAATATAATTCATGTTTTGATTTATTTTTATATTAAATTATTGTTTTTAGTGTTCATTTACATATCTAAGGTACCTGAGATAACATACCTCTCCCTTCAAGTGGCACTGGTTTGCAACATTCTGACCACCAAAGGAAGTTCCACCAAAATTATTAGCATATTTTTGAGCAAGCAAAATGCCAAATTTTACCGTTCAAGAAACCTGTTTTACAGTGTATGCACATGTGTAACATTATTAATAGAATGTAATCATCATCATCTTCTTTAGTTAGTTTCTTTTCTTTTCTTTTAATATTTGCATGTTGCTGCTATCAATTTTGAATTTCTTCTTGTGTATATTACTCTTTACTTGTATGCCCTGAGGAGCCCCAAATTGGTATCAATAAATCTTATCTTAAAAAAAAATCTTATCTTATCTTATATCAAATAAATTGTCTGCACACATACTTGTCATAATAGTACTCATTTAATGAAAATGTCGATTATCGACATTGAAGCTGCTTAGGAAGTCCATAAATAAAAAACATGAAAAAAATGTGGAAAATGTGTGTCTGCAAGTTTTATTAAAGTAGGGGGTGAATATCAGAATTTTTCTTTCTATAATGATAAATATATATTTGTTAAATCCTGATTTCCAAATACAAGTACTTTAAATAAAAACACAAACTTTTGAGCACTTTGATTGAGGACTAGCTTAGGATGACTTTTTCTATGAGCTCTCTTTTATATGGATGCACTATTGCCACACCTTGTTTTACTATCCCTAAAAATTTGAATATGTTCAAATCATACAATGTTTTTCCACTATTCTTCAAAATGTAGGAAAAAACGTTTGAAACTCATTGTGTAATACAACATCTGAGAAAGTTCAAGGTCATATGCAAAGTCACTGCCTGTGATAAATATTATTTGAACACTTTGGTTGTTGTAATCTTAAATTGTTATTAAATGTATTCTGTAAAGCTATTTTTTTTCCTTGGGGGCATAATTCCATGGAATCACAATTTTGGTTGAATCTGCGAGTAGAAAATTACATGGACTTCTTGGATTGGCATTAAATGTCCATAATGAATTTTAAGTACGCTGTGACAAATTAATCCCACTCTACAGTATTCATATTATTATTTTTTTTCCCAGGGCTGTATGAACAACATCACATTTGGGGACGATGCCTTCGGACATTATGAGACAGTAGCTGGAGGAGCGGGAGCTGTGAGTACTGGAGATTCCTAAATATACGCGAGGAATTTTGTTAGAAATATCACTCAAAAAAATAAAAATACTCGCTTTTAAAGTCAAACCTTGTTAAGTCAAACCCTGAGGGGACCAAGAAAGATCTTTGAGATATCCAATGATTCGAGATATCAAGGTTAAAATACATATAGAAAAAGTCGTTGGGACTTTTAACTCACTTTGAGATATTCATGGTATTTCAGATATCGAAGTTCAAGATAATGAAGTTCAACTGTATTTTTATATTGCTGAAATACATATAAAATCTCAACAGTCCACTCATGAATTCATGTTCTCACAATTTGATGTCTACAAGTCATTTTACAATATTATGTACTTGCATTAAATAAGAAATCTGAAATATATGTACCTATAGCATGGCTGATCATATTTTGGTTGTCTGAAATTCTTTTAATACTAAGTAACCACACTTACCACAGACTGGGGAAATACTGTATTGTTTAACAGTGCTATTACATTGACAGGGACCAACATGGAATGGAAGAAGTGGAGTGCACAGTCACATGACCAACACTCGTATCACAGACCCTGAAATCTTAGAAAGAAGGTCATAACAATTTAGTTTTATTTTTGATTTATTTAATTTTCTTCTTAAGATAAATGTATGACAATTTACCTAATTTCATTAATTATTTCATTTATTCCTTTATTATATTGATCTTGTATTTCTTGAATCTTAAAAAAAAGGAGATTTTAAAAAAAAAATTAAATTTAGGTATCCAATTATTCTGAAGCAGTTTCACCTTAACCCTGGAACAGGGGGCCAAGGTCAACACAAAGGAGGAGATGGCATCATAAGGGAGTATCTGTTTCGCAAAGATCTCACCCTCTCTATTCTCACAGAAAGAAGAGTCTTCTCCCCTTATGGATTAAATGGTCAGCATCAATTTCTTAAATTCAGTCATAGAATATATAAGTTTTCATACCCATCAATAATAGTCCCATATGGAAGGTTCTAGTTCTGGTCACTATGAAATTATATTGACTGGTCAATATGAAATTATATTGACAACTGTTCAAGTAGAGGATTCTTTTTAAGTTATTTTTGTGCCCTGTCATATACTTATTAATCTCAAACATCGCCATCTCGAATACCATGAATATGTCCAAGTGAGTTAGATGTACCAATTGAAAAATTTGTCTTTATGTAATTTAATCTGGATATCTGGAATCCTCAGATATAGCAGGTTTCTCTCAGTCCCATTGAGGTCAAGAAACTGTATATGGCAGGAACATATAGTGTTTGACATGTTCATCTTCCATCTTTCCAACCTTCTGTCTGTTGGTTCATCACACTTTGCATTTAGCTCAGTTTCAAAGAAACTTGTTTTTATCAAGCTTCATACAAAGATACATACAAGCATTGGCAAGAGCAATTCAACAGTGTCATTATTTTTTCCTATGACCAAGACCTCACAACTTCTCATTCTGAGTTTACCTTAGCTTGAAAGAAATTTTCAAAGAAATTTCCATGAAACTTCATACACTGATAAAAAGCATTCTGACTTTGACCTTCCCTATAATGTTTAACTTCACTTCTTCCTCATTTTGCTCCTAGTTCATCTTTGTTTGTCAACATTTCAAATTTAAATGTGCCTGTGTTTCCCAAGTATTATTAACTTTGAAAAACTTGTCTGTGAAGATGATACGTACCTAAGAGATCATAAATAAATTTGCTATGTATAGAGAGAATGGACTTGAAACAATGAGTCTTCATTAGTTAAATAGATAGAATGAATTAACACTATTAAAACTATTTTTTCTTTCATCTTATTTTACATGTTCTATTAGCACAGACCAAAAAAATAAGATACAATTCTTTTCAAAATGCAATACTAATGTACTTTTTGGTGGGGCAAGTACAATCATGTATTTATAGATCTCAGTTACTAAAAATGCTTTTTAGGTTGTAACTTATATATGCAGGCAAACAATTGTGCTATGAGTTACAGATGTCAGCAGATAGCTTATATATCTCTTAATCTTCAATGCTTTTTATGTGGAACTTGTGGAGCTAATGGAGTTAATCTAATCTTGAATGCTTTTTAGGTGGATCTTGTGGAGCAAAGGGAGTAAATCTAATCTTGAATGCATTGTAGGTGGAGATTGTGGAGCTAAGGGAGTTAATCTTATTTACTACAAAGATGGAAGAATTGTGTATTTGGGATCAAAAACTTCTATCAAATGTCAGGCAGGGGTATGTTTCTGTACTTATTAGTAAAAATACACTGGACAAAATAAGTTAAGGATCATGATTTATAAATTATTTATTTTACAACAAATAACAATATATTCCATTATAACTATATAATATAAATCTTTAACAAGTAAACAAACAATTTTTATTGTGTTTATCACAAATCAATGAAGCGTTAACGTGCATTGGGATTAATTGTCACACAACCCCCAAAAACAGAATGAAAAACAGCCTTGTTAAAGGATGGAAAATTCAGACGTAACCGTTTGCGCAGTGATTTGATGTGTTCAATATGCTGTATGACCACCCCGTGCCTGAATAACCGTGCGACAACGCCTCTGCATACTGCGGATAAGTCTCCGGAAGAAGATTTGCGGCAATCTAGCCCATTCCTCGATGAGTGCTGCAGAAAGCTCCTCACGGTTCCTAGGGAGTACTGGGCACGCTGAAATGGCTTGCTGTAGTTTGTCCCAAGCATGTTCTATGGGATTCAAATCAGGCGAAAGACTCGGCCAGTCCATTCGCTCAATGGTTTCATTTTCCAGGTAGTCTGTTACGACGCGAGCCCTGTGAGGTCTAGCATTATCGTCCATTAAAATAAAATCATCACCGATAGCACCTGCATACAGCCTGACAATAGGGTGCAGTATCTCATCTCGGTATCTTATCCCTGTAAGATTTCCTGCGATAACGTGCAAGTCAGTCTTTCCGGTTATACTGATACCACCCCAAACCATCACAGAACCACCTCCGAAACGATCATGCTCAGCAACACAGCAATCTGCATAACGTTCACCGGTCGTATGCCAAACTTGTCTACGACCGTCATGAAAGTCTACACAAAAGCGCGACTCATCTGTAAAAAGAACAGGGGTCCAGTGACGCAGTTGCCAATTGACATGGTATCTTGCCCATTGGAGTCTGGCTGTTCTGTGTCTTGGGGTCAGTTTGGGCCGGACTGCTGGTCGGAATGCTCGGATATTAGCTGCATGGAATCTGTTTCGAACTGTCTGTGGTGTTACTCGCACTCTTGTTGCTGTTTGAAAGTCTGTATTTAGCCTAACAGCACTCTGGAACCTCTGCCGTTTTGCCATATTGACCAGATAGCGGTCCTGACGAGCCATGGTTGACCTCGGATGAGCAGAACGTGGTCTCTCAGCAACGGTACCAGTATGTTGGAATCGATTCCATAATCGTGAAATGACACTTTGGGACACATTAAAGTGTGCAGCAACAGTTCTTTGAGTATTGCCAGATTGAAGCATACCTATAGCTTGGGCTGCCTCAAACCCGGTTAAGTGACGTCTCATGGCTTGAAATGTCACAGGGTCATCAAAAAATATCCACAACTTCAAACACGTATTCAAATAAACAATTTCGTTAACTTTGTGTATACCCTGAATCACTTTGTTTTTCACCCTGTGTCGGCATTCAGTAAAGCATGAATTGGGCATGAATTGCACGACCCTACAGGTAGCATTTTCTTATCAATAACATGTTAAAGAAAGTATGGTTGAACCATAATGTAAAAAATATATTATAATGGTTTTGGGAAAACAATTCAAAATCATGATCCCTAACTTTTTTTGTCCAGTATATTAGAAATACATGTATAAGGTATTATTATGAGTTTTGAATATAAGCTACATTTACTAGAAGACATTAAAATCATTGTTACTGTTCATGTAAAAGTTAATCTCAATCAACATATAATTTTTTCCCAGGATGTATTTTATCTCCAGACTCCAGGTGGAGGAGGTTATGGATCTGAACAGGAACAGGAAACAGACACCAGAAAAAGGAAGCGGAAGTCAAGTGACGAAGGGTCAAAGGCCAAAAAAGGTCACTCCCTGGTTGGCAGAGGAAGTGTATTTGAGTACAAAAAAGCTCAGGAATCAGCATAGATTTTTTAAATAAAATTCTGTGTTAGGCAACAAAATAATCTTAGTTTCTTAGGCACTACCGATCTTGATACAAGTTTTAATAAAACCGTTTTTATTACAAAAAGGTTTTTGAAAAACTTTATTCAGGTATAAAGTTTATCGAGTCTCAAATGTAATTATTAGTAATTGCAGGCAGGCCACATTTCATTTTGAAATTTTGGCTTGAAAAACTACCGGTTAATTTTTTTTCCTTAGTTATGTTGGAATGATATGCTAAGTACTCGTATATCCTATATCCCAAGACATCTAGATAAGTCATTAATAATTGTTCTCTTTCAATTAAATTTATACCAATAAACACGTGCTCGTGATAACTCATCATAACTATGATTGCACCAGAAATATTTATTTTTTTAAAACACTATTGTCTAAGGAAAATTATCCAGTGCTTTGCATGAGTAATGTTTTTGTGATAAAACAGTATTATTATCATCAGTATTTTATTGAAAAAAAAAAATCCATATTTTTTTGTTTCATATTGCACACAATCACTTATGTCTTAGTCACATTTAAATCAATGGTTGTGTGACTAGATTTTTTATTTTGTCTGCCGAAATACACTCGGTCGACAAAAAAATCGAGCTACATTAATTTTCTATAGCACCTAGAACCTCTGGCAAAGTTTAACGTTTGCAAGTCAGCTGATCGTTGTCCAAAATTAATTATTTTTTAAACCCCCCCCCCCCCTTTAAACAACAAAACTGCGTGCCTGATTCCTTCACCACTTGCGTTTGTTTTCTCGATGGTTCCACTCGGAGGAAGCTCAAGAAAAAGAAGAGATGATGTGAATAAGGTACATAACAAGAAGAACCATCCCAGCAGGAAGTTAGGGACAAACCTTCCACTTCCTCTTGTAAAATGGACGGAAAGGAAAAATCTGGAGGCGTTCCTGCAAATGCCATCATTAGAATGTTTTCAAGAAAAAATGTTGTTGTCGATTTTTCGGGAGCTCCAATCATTTAAAACTCTGTGATGTTTATCGATTGTCGTGCAATGTTCGATTGTCAGACGACATGCTATACATGTATAACGAATGTCACAGCTAAGAAATGCAAACACCTACGGAAGAAAATTTAACTTGCCTCGATCAGTCTAGACGAACTCCAAAAACAGCGTTTCCAGAAGTAAGAAATTGAGACTGAAAAAGACTCCAAAAATAAAGTCCGCGCATGCGCACACACACAAAAAATGGCGATTTTTCGGCAAAAATGATGGGTCTACAAAAACTGTCCGTGCAAAGTTTTGGAAAGTATGGCAATTATACCAGTACTCAGAAATGCTAAATAAAAAACTTTGGAAGAGATCGTATTTGTCAGATTTTTGATTTTATTTGCAAAAAAGGAGGTATTTACTTTCAAAGTTAACGTTTCAAGTCAGATCAATTACAGAGAAAATGATACGTATGCATAATAGAAGGGATATATATGCAAAATGTGACAATTATATATTGTAACTGTTAAAACCTTGACTGAATTTTAACATAAATTAGCAATCCGGTTTTTTATTTGTGTACGACATCTGAATTGAACTCGTAAGTTTTTACCAGCGTTATTTACCGATTTTTTATCAATACGAACAGATATTATTATGAAAACATTTTTAAAACTATTATCTATCAATATGAAAACTTTAAAAACCAATCTTCTAGATATTAAGGACACAACATGTCCTCTAAAAATTAACCCGTTAATATCTCTCCTCCGTGGTGAAAAATGCGCATTTTCTGATTAAAATAAATACAAGTTGGGTGTCTTCAAAAACAAATAAAAGCACATTTATTGTAGGAACGACATAAAATTTAAATCAAGGAGACAATAAATTAAATAAGAAAATATTTCTTACCGGTGGTATTAAATTCGATGTCGTATATCCAATTCACTATATATGCAAGAGTTTGAAGCGATAAATAAGTCAATATCCATAAAATAATTTAATAAATGCAATTATCCATTCAACAAAAAATAAAATGAAGTATTAATGCACTAAATACAGCCATTATGCAGCCGTATATTTGGAGACAGCGAACGACAATCCATCGTTTGTTTACATCGGACGCCATTTTGCCGCAATGCATGATGGAGCCAAAGACTTCGTTTTCGGAGTTCACGCCGTTTTTGGAGTTCGTCTAGACTGTCGATGGACCAGGAGAAAAAAAATAAAATAATCAGTCGAACGAGAACAAAAAACCCAGCCAATATCGACATTGCCGTCAGCCATTAATGTGACAGAGGCATTAATAGAGTTGTGTTTCTTTGTCCTATATTGTTTCTGACTTTCAGACAATGTAGAAGGGAAAAGGGAATTAATCCAAAGAAAAGCAGTAGCCTAGTACATGTATTTAAAAAACAAAACAAACAAACAAAACAAAACAAAAACAAACAAACAAGACACGTTGATAGCAGATTTTAATAAAATTCCATTCATAAGGAGACCCAGATATATGTACATTTTGTTCAAGAGCACGAAAGTTCAACTAGCGCATGTTTTAGGGGTATATTTTCCTTTTAGCTACACATGTATACTATTGACAAGTATCATTTGACATTGAAGATGATACGTATCTTATAAAATGGGACTCTGTAATTTTGTCTTAATTGGTGTCGTAACAAAATGTCACTACATTCATTGCAGAGACATAAATTGAAATAACAGGGATTCGCAACTCCGTCTTTAAGAGGTTTTACTAGTCCTACTGTTTCCTAAATGAGTGACGGTCTCAGTATTATTCTTGAAATAACTCTTGGTTTTATTTATGTGATATTATGTTATTTTTATATAACTTTTGTATTTATTTATGTCTCTGATTCTTTGCTATGGAGAAATAAAACCGTAAAAAATTTAATTGTGTAATTCCTTATATTAGCGATAATCAATGTACAAATTAATTTTAAGAAAGAAATAAATGTTTTACGAAATAGGATAATTTTGCACGTAATTTTGACTCCCTCTGTCGGCCATTTTAGCCCCATCCTTATACATATTCATGATGGAAAATAACTAGGGCTGGGATGATATATAGACTCTATGTGAGGGCGATACGCATATCGATACGTATGTAGAAATATCTCCACCCCCCCCCCCCCAAAAAAAAAAAGATTCCGACTTATTTTTCTTTGTTTACTTAAAATTTTGGTTTATTATATAAAATAAATATGTTAAATATAAATATGAAATTCATAATAATTGAAATAATTTTTTTTACAACAGATATACAGCTTCTACGAATAAATTATACTTATTTGATTTGTGAAGAAATGTTTTGTTCATTTCATAACAAAAAGAAAGTTTTATAACTAATTCAAAATATCGTGATTTATATCGTGTCGTGGCTCGAATATCGTGATATAGAAAAAGATATATCGTCCCAGCCCAAAAAATAACAGAGGAACACTTCGTTATAAATGTAGCGCCGACCTATAGGGCGGGGATTGGTTTCAGTCTTTACAAAAAGCTTTTCGATTACCGTTCTGGTCAATGACTTTATGCTTCATACATTTACTAATTCGTTGCTCATACATCATTTTATTTCTAGTCGATGCATGTTGTATCTAGAGATAGGAAGAAGCCTTTCATATATATTAGCTACATATATAGCATGATATCGTCAACGCAATTTGAGTTTGTTATCTCGAAATATACAATAAACAAAGCTGCAGATGGGCATTTGTTAAGCTCTAACAGATACTGGCGTTAAATGGTAAGAATATTTACCCAGATTAAGACTTTTTTAATATTCTGACACTCGAAAGTCCAGAGGTGGCTGATGAAAGAGATAAAGTTAACAGGAAAAATTCGTGAAATTTTAAGTAAAAACCTTTTTCTCGTTCATAGTAATAAGAGAAAAACCAGAAGTCTCTGACGAGACTGTAGTTCTACTGGTTTTTACTTATAACGAGGGAAGAGAAAAGTACCACTTGGACTTGAAATTTTGCAACAACCATAAAAAGAATAATAATCCTTGGTTTAGTCTCTTTTTGTTTCAAGATTTATTGCAATCAGATTAAAACTGTAGGAGGAGTATCCTTTTAAAGGGATTTTACAGAAATTTCTTTATTTAAGTAACCATTGCAACATCATTCATCAAAATGTATCTCAGTGCAGTCTACTTGCACGCCAAGTTATATTAAAATCAGACCAAAACTGTAGAAAGAGTAATGTTTTGAAAGTATTTCACAGAAATTCTATTTTTAGTAACCATAGCAACATCATTCATCAAAATCAGACGAAAAAAAGGGTGAAACTTTGTTCAATCTACTTGTGTGCCAAGTTATATTGAAATCAGACCAAAACTGTAGAAGGAGTAGCATTTTGAAAGTATTTCACAGAAATGTCTTTTTAGTAACCATGGTAACACTGTTCATCAAAATCAAAAAAAGATAAAGAGAATAATGAAGCTTAGTGTACTCTACTTGTGTGCCAAGTAATATTAAAATCAAATCAAATTTGTAGAAGGAGTAAAATTTTTAAATTATTTCACAAAAAATTTTATTTTATGTAACCATGGCAACACCGTTCATCGAAATCATAAATCGATATCTTGGTGTTCTACTTGTGTGCCAAGCTATATTGAAATCAGACTAAACTCTTGAAAGAGTAGCCTTTTGAAAGTATTTCAAAGAAAATTCATTTTTAATAACCAAGGCAAAACCATTCATCGATATTTATAAAGTGCCCCGCCACAGCATGATACGCCCGTCAAATATTGTTCAATTATCATATACATACCATTCTTTATAATGTTTGATGTACATACATCTCCTGTGGTGTAGGTATTAATTATAACAAATAACACATCATATATTTCTCAACTGGTTGTGTTCAAGATGCAACATAACTATGTTGGTATTCGACTTATTGAAGCCAACAAGCAAGATAATTATATGAAGACATGGGATTTATTTAAGTCAACATGTATTAGATATTTATGTAGACATGCGACTTATTTATGTCCACGTGCGACTTATTTATGTCAACATGCGAAATAATTGTCAACATGCGAGATTATTATGTTGAGATGTGAATTTATGTCAACTCGCTAGATATTTATGTTGACGTGCAACTTACTATCTTGCATGTTGACATGAATAAGTTGCATATCACCATAAGTATTTTGCATGTTGACATAAATATCTTGCATGTTTATATATAACTTGCATGTTGACATAAATAAGTCACTTGTCAACATAAGTATGTTGCATGTCGATTTAATAAACTCGCATGTCGACATAAGTTGCATGTCGACATAATTAACGAGCATGTCGACATAAATATAGTCACATGTAAACATTTTATCTGCATGTTGACATAAATATGTCCCGTGTCTACATAATTATGTTGCATCTTGCATCTATGATGTCCGATATTGGCGTTAGTG